GACAGAGCCTCAAGCTGTCCCCCTGGGTAGAGTGCCGTGGCATTACAGCTCACGGCAACCTCCAACTCCCGGGCTCAAGCGAGTCTCCTGCCTCCACCTCCCAAGTAGCTGGGACCACAGGCGCCCGCCACAATGCCCAGCTATTTTTTGGTTGCAGCCGTCGTTGTTTGGCGGGTCCGGGCTGAGGATTCAAACCCGCCACCTTAGGTGTATGTGGCTGGCGCCTTAGCCGGTTGAGCTATAGGCACTGAGCCCTTGTGATTTTTTTTAATCTTATCTCTTCTCTTAAAAACTTGACTCAGCTAATCTCTAGGTAGCCTTACCCAATGACCTCCATGTTTCCATTACAATACTCATACACATGGTATCTCATTGTGAAAATACATTTTAAGTTAAAGTATTATTTTAATTGGGTCTTCAGTTTCTAAACAAGAATGCATTGTGGACATCTATCATTTAAAATAGTCCATTTCTGCATTTGCTGGAGAGTAAATATTTATAAAGGTATCAAGCTAATTTTCTCAAGTCTTAGAGCTATGTTGAATTAATTGCATTTACAAAAAGGCCTGTGGAGTTTCCTCTTCACAGCTAGCAGATGCCCAAGCACATCTGTAAGTATGGTCCATAAAAAGGTTGGTGGAGAGAAGTGGTTTGGTGCGTTAGATGTTGTAGGCAGTGTAGAATTAGGAGGGCTAGGTTGTTAAGAAGGGAGGAATCAGGACCACTTAGTGCTTAATTACGTTAACTTTTGTTTGTGAGTATGCTGCTTTATAAGCATTTATAAGATATATATTTACATGTAGGCCAGGCGCAGTGGCTCATACCTGTAATCCTACCACTCTCGGAGGGTGAGGTGGGGTGGTGGATTGCCTGAGCTCACACGTTCGAGACCAGCCTGAGCCAGAACCAAAGCAAATAGCTAGGCATGTGGTGAGTGCCTGGCCTGTAGTCCCAGCTACCTGGGAGGGTGAGGCAAGAGAATCACTTAAGCCCAAGTGTTTGAAGTTGCTGTGAGTTGTGATGCCACGGCATTCAACCCAGGGCCACAAAATGAGACTCTGTCTAAAAAAAAAAAAAAAAATATATATATATATATATACACACACACACACACACACACACCCCCAGACACACACACAATTATATCCTATCTCCTTAGCATCTAGACAGGTAAAAGGATAGCAGATGAACTGCTCAGGTAATTTGCCTTTTCTCTCCTCCATTACGCCCCGATCACCTAGAGCTCTCTCCATAGGCCTTTGTGCACAGGAGCCATCCCACACGTTGAGTTCAATCTCAAGTTGAATATATGTACGTAAGACAGTACACATTTATATGTATTTGTCTGTTTACTTGGTGTGGTTAACATGCAAATTCAGATTAGCCATAGGAGAGAGTACATTCACTTAATAGTCTCTTTGGATTTAGTAAAAACAACTATTTAGTTTCCAACCTAACATTTCTGGCTGTCAGGATCTAATGGCACATATCTTTTCTGTGTTACAGGACTTTACATGCATAAAAAGTCACCCAATAGATCCCATTCGCTGTCTCCATCACCAGTTAATAAACATAAACAGTTCCATACGGAGAAGAGAAGGCAGCACAAGCTAAAAGAAAAAGATAACCGCCACTATCGAGCCAAGGTACTTCCCTATCTCTCAGCTACAATTGAGCAGCAGATAATACCATTTTCCCTCAGCCAGATGCTACCATGAACATGCTATTGACTAAAGGGATAAAATGCACTTAATATACTCCCTTTCTCCCTCTTGTAAATGTATGTAATATTCCTGAGCTGAGCAGATGATGGGGAACTGTGTGACAACTCATACTCCCCTTGTGAAACTCTTAAGAAAATAACCTGGTTGGGCATAGCTCAGTGTTCCAGTGGAGTAAGAAAGGATTATCAGGCTCAGCACCCATAGCTCAGTGGTTAGGGCATCAGCCACATTCACTGGGTTTGGGGGTTTCAAACCCAGCCTGGACTTGTTAACCAATAATGACAACAACAACCAAAAAATAGCCAGGCATTGGGGCGGGCGCTTGTAGTCCCAGCTACTTGGGAGGCTGAGGCAAGAGAATCGCTTAAGCCCAAGAGTTTGAGGTTGCTGTGAGCTGTAACACCATAGCACTCTACCCAGGGCGACTGAGACTATATTTCAAAAAAAAAAGCATTATCAGTACAGGTTGGTTATTTTCAGAGAGAGTTTCAGAAATGAAGAGGATTTGAGGTGGATTAAATGTGACAAGCCGCTTGAGTTACAGAAAGGATGAGAATTTGCCCAAGACATGAATAAGAAGGTGGTTGGGATTCAACAAGGAGAGTTCTGTGTAACAGAGATTTTGAAATGTAGCATAAATTTAGAATGCTTAAGGTATGTGTTGTATAATAGGTTTTATAATGTGGTAGGCTTTATACTGGTAAAAAAGATTGAAACTAATTCAGATCTCTTATAATAGTTACAGTCAGTAACTTAGCATGTAACTTCCATTCAGGGGGTATCAAAACAATTATCAATACAATAACAACAAAGAAACATCATATAAAATTTCATTGTATGTTCCAATTACATACCTGTTAAAATAGATTTATGATACAAAGCTTGAAAGGAAGTTAGAAAAAAGTGAGCTTGATACTTGCAGGGGTGGCAGGATCCTAGGTTAATTTTTTTTATTTATTTTCATTTGCAGTAACTAATATTTTATGACTTCTACCTCTAGGTTTTCACTGAAGCATTTGAAAAGGAACTAAGAAGAAATAAAGTTCAAGAGATTATTGGACCTCTAGGGATAAATAACAAGGAGGAGGAAACAGTGGGTAAAAATCTCCACTATAATAAATGCCATTTGATCAGAATAGTGAGAGATACAGATCTTTTTAAAAGAAAAAAGAACCAATAAGACCTTAATCATTAGATCTTTAGGAAAAGGCAGGATTTCATAATGTAAGATTTTCACTTTTTCTTAGGATATTCAAGTTACTAAAATATGGCAAGACACAGTACCAAAGAAAACTACCACTTTTTCTTTCCTACCTAAAACTTCCACCAGTTCTTAAGGGATTCTGTTGTTTGGCAGTGCCAGGGGGTGGGGTGGGGGAGGTGTCTAAAAAGTAGTCTAGGCTGATAAAGCGGAATAAGAAAAGACAGAAAATCCTGGTTGCTCTGGACCTGGTTGTAAGAAAGTGAAAGCATTACGTTTTTGTTGCCTTTCATAAGTATGGTTACATAGAGCCAGGCGTGGTGGCTCATGCCTGTAATTCTAGCACTCTAGGAGGCTGAGGTGGGTGGATCCCTTGAGTTCAGGAGTTGGAGACCAGCCTGAGCCAGGGTGAGTAGCTGGGTATTGTGGTGGGCGCCTATAGTCCCAGCTACTTGGGAGGCTGAGGCAAGAGAATCACTTAAGCCTGAGAGTTTGAGGTTGCTGTGAGCTATAACACTATGGCACTCTACTCTAGACAAAATGAGAGACTTTGTCTCAAAAACAAAAAAAAAGTGGTTACAGAAATTAAGTAAAAGCATGAGAAAAATGTTTATGCTAAAAAGTTAATGAGCAAAACTAGATATACTGTATGGTTACAATTAAAAACATGCTACATAGTTGCTTGGGACATATATATATATATATATTTTTTTTTTTTTTTTTTGAGACAGTCTGTTGTTGCCCTGGGTAGAGTGCCCTGGCATCACAGCTCACAGCCACCTCAGACTCTTGGGTCTAAGCGGTTCTCTTGCCTCAGCCTCCTGAGTAGCTGGGACTACAGGGCGCCTGCCACAGTGCTGGTGGCTATTTTTAGAGAGGAGGTCTCACTCTTGCTTAGGCTGGTCTGGAACTCCTAAGCTCAGGGAGTCTACCCACCTTGGCCTCCCTGTGCTTGGGAATTTTTTAAATTTTCATAGAAGTTGTCAAAGAAACATACATCAAAACAGTAATAGTGGAGAAAACACATTAATAGTGGTTGTATTTAGAGTGTGGGACTATGGTATCTGAAACTTGAGAAGGATTCAATGCTTTTCCAAATTCCAAGGGATGCCAGACGCCAAAAGGTGCCTTTAGCTTAGTGTGGGTGAATACTAACCAGATTTTAGAAGTGACATGGTTTAGCTGGAAAGTAGTTCGCTATTTTTGTCAACATGTAATATTTAAGATGATGTATGAAAGAGTTGTTAGATACTGTTTTTCTATTCTGTTTTATATCCGCTTCTAAGGAAAAAATATACAGAGAAGCTGTTCATAAAAGAACTCCAGAATATAGTCAGCCTTGGAAGGTTTGCTCTAGAAAAACCACAACTCAGAGTCCAAGAGGTGGCTTCCCAAAGGCAAATAAAGCACTTCCAAGTAAGAACCACAGAATTGTACTTTATGGAAAACTGGCAGCCTTTGAAAGCGTGTGCTACATTCCAGGGATACAGCACTGGAAACTCAGATCTTTCAGTTAACTGGAGAAAAGTCCTTCTTTTATCTTTGCCATATTGCTAATTTTATGTAAAGAAAGCTAAAACTCTTAAATAAGGAAGTACCTCAGGGAGGCCTATGTATTGGGACCAAAGGAAAGCCAAGGCTGTTGTCTGCTGCTCCAACTTTACCTCCTTCTATTCACTCTGTTACACACCGAATGAGTGTCTCCCCCTTACCCCCAGGAAGTTGGGAGAAAAAAGGAATGCTCCAAAACAAGTAGATGGCCTGTCTAGCTCCAGTCTATTGATGGTGCCAGTGAATACTCGTTAGGCTCTTGTTATAAGTCAGTGGTTCTCAACCCTCCTAATGCCGCTACCCTTTAATACAGTTCCTGTGGGTCACGACCCACAGGTAGAGAACCACTGTTATAAGTAAAGACCAACTAAGGAAATACCAGCCTTCCAACTATACCCCAGAGACTACTGGCCTTTCATCTCATGAGACAGATTTTAGAAGAAGCACATGCGTCTCAGGAGGGCCGAAGAGTCTGTTGTTTTAATGTACTCAGCATTTGTCTGTAGTCACTGAGGTGTGGCAGCTGAGTAGGTTGGATGGACTTTTCGGGACCAGCATCAGTCAGAACTATTGAACTTACTGTTATTCTTACCAGTAGTTAGCTTACTCCAATCAAAGAAGGGGTGCAAAAGTGATAATATATTTAGAATTGTTCTTTTCAGAATCAGAATCACACCACTTGGATAAGTTGTGATCTACCAGGGAAGTAGAGCTTATCCGCAGTCTTTCTGATTAAGAGTATCTCATTTTACTTGGCAGTGAAAGTAGATGAACACAGTCTTCTGGCCCTTATGCTAGAGCAGTTTCCATTTCTCTATGTCTCTGGCCCAACTCTAAGCAAGATGTGGAAACAGCAAATTGCACAGATTGAACAGCTCAGAAAAGATGCAGGCAGAGAAAACCGATCAAAGAAGAAACTCCAGGATGAAGTAAGTCACCGTCAGTCTTAAATGGGGAATTTAAACCAGAAAGAGGAAGAACTTATCTTTAAGAATTTAGTGAACGGCATTATTAACCAACTCACTCATTTCCCACTTAAAGATAGAAGAGGCCCTACAAAGGCATGACCTCCTTACTGCCCTTGTGAAGAAAGAATATGAACATAACAAGAGACTGGTATGTGAAAAGCGTGTTGGGGGTTAGATTCACAATTTACAAGTTATACTCTTGTGTTATTTCGTCCAGCTGGGCAACAGTTCCTTACCTCTAACACTCACCTGTGGAAGCATCTAGAGCTTTAACCAAAATTGACTTGGTGGGGCTGTTGGGTATTTCATATACACACTTTCATGTAGTCATGGCATGTCTATTAGAGAAGATACTTTCCCATGAAATGAAAACCCCAAGGTTTGAGATGTTAGGTGACTTGCCCTGGGTCTCAGCATGGTAAGCAGGGGCAGAATTTGTATTTTAATCTAGTTCTCCACAGCCCCTCCTAAAGGTGTCAGGTGGTTGTAACTTCATGCTTTTTTGTCTCTTCCATCTCTCCCAGGACCCAAGTAGAGAGCTGAGGTCATTTACCAGCCTCCATCATAATTCAGACTAAAATCGTCCTTAGAACATTATTCCCTACCGAGCATAAGGAAGTGAGAGGACTGAGATCAGAAGTCAGCAGCAGTCTGCCAGAGGAAGGGGTGTGGAGGAGAGATAAGAGTGAGAGCTAGAATCCTAAACAGTTCCAAAAGGTCTTTCAAGAACTGCATGTGGTTTGTGGAAAAAAACACAAATTATCCAAAACTCCTATGTTGGCGGTTTTATGTACATGACATCATTTCATCCTCATTGCTTTGTCAGATGTCAAATTTCTTAAGTCTTTTGCCTGATCATACTTTTGGCAACTTAGTCTAGGAGTGCCATTTTCCTACTCCTTTTGAGGTGGCATCTGGGTTTAGCTTAGCGACCTCCTGGTGGAATGAGGTGAGGTACTCAGGACCGTTGCTGCTCTGCAAACTGCTGAAGGGCTTCTGGGGTCAGCAGTCTTTCACGCTCCATGAAAGCAGGCAGTAGGCCACTGCTGAGAACGCTTGAGTCTGCTGTCCTCTTTTTTCTTATCCCTTTTTCCCTTCTTTCTCAGCAAGATTTCAAGGACCGTATTCATAGACAAAGGTTGACCCGATCAAAGATAAAAGAAAATCATCAGCAAATTGTTCGTGCTCGAAAATACTATGATGATTACAGAGTTCAGCTACGTGCCAAAATGATGAGAATGAGGACCCGGGAAGAAATGGTAAATATGGCTTTTTGTCCATCCGTGGTGAAGTTTGTTACCTTTCAGAACCACTTTATTTGTTTGTAATTCCTGGTCCATTTTGAATCCAAAATCCAAGCGCAAGTCCTAGAAACTTGGCTGTGAAAATTCTTCCCTTGTTCATGCTTCATTTTATTATCCATTGTGCATTCCTGTCTGTCTCTGTGGCCCATGATGTGAAGTCTTATTTCCTCTGCCTCCTACACATAACATGGGTACTTCTCTAGTACAACTACTTTAACAGTTTGTAAAAGACAGGAATTTAGACATGGCTCATGACTGTAATCTTAGCACTTTGGGAGGCTAAAGAGGGAGGATTGGTTGTCAGGAGTTCAAGACCTTCCTGGGGAATATAGCAAGACCCCGTCTTTACAAAAAATTTTAAAAGTTAGCTAGATGTGGTGGCACATACCTGTAGTTGCTGTTACTTGCGAGATTGAGGCAGGATGATTGCTTGAGCCAGGAGTTTGAGGCTAAAGTGAGCTGTGATCATATACTGCATGTCAGCCTGGGCAACAGAGCAAGACCTTGTCTCTTGAAATAGAACAAAAATAAAAAAGAAAGGAATTTAATGCATAATTACATAATTTAGAATTCCACATAAAATCAGAAATAGTGTAGCACAGCTGTGCTGTGAGGGGTTTCCACAAGTTATTTTGGGATCCCAAGTTAGCAGTAAGTTTCATCTGTGGAGTAAAACACTATAGTAATTATGATTAACTGGATTAAATACTCTGAAATGCTTCTAGAAGAAGCTATTACTAAGGCTTTCAGAGGCTGAGTAACTTGTCTAAGGTCATTCAGCTAATGAATGGATGGCTATCAGAAAAATTCTTCTATCAAGAATTCTTACTACAAGAGAATTGCTTAAGCCCAAGAGTTGAAGGTTGCTGTGAGCTGTGATGTCATGGCACTCTACCAAGGGCAATGTAGTGAGACTCTGTTGGGATAAAAAAGGGATAAAAAAAAAAAACTTACTAAAGAAGCAGGGTGTAATGGTTCATGCCTATAATCCTAGCACTCTGGGGGGGCCAACACAGGTGGATTGCTTGAGCTCAGAAGATCAAGACTAGCCTGAGCCACAGCGGGCATTGTGGTCTGTGCCTATAGTCCCAGGTACTCGGGAGGCTGAGGCAAGAGGATCCCTTGAGCCCAAGAGTTTGAGGTTGCTGTGAGCTGTGATGCCACGGTTCTCTACCATGTCATACCATGACATAGTGAGATAAATTAAAAAACCTAGCCAGGAGTAGTGGTAGGCACCTGTAGTCCCAGCTACTCGGGAGGCTGAGGCAAGAGGATCATTTGAGCCCAAGAGTTGGAGGTTGTTGTGTGCTGTGACAAAAAGAACAAAACAAAAAAGAATTTTTTTTTTTCTTTGAGACAGAGTCTCATTTTCTCACCCTTGGTAGAGTGCTGTGACCTCACAGAAACCTCAAACTCTTGGGCTTACGCTATTTTCTTGCCTCAGCCTCCCAAGTAGCTGGGACTACAGGCGCCTGCTACAACGTCTAGCTATTTTTTTTGGTTGTAGTTGTCATCATTGTTGTTTGGCAGGCCCAGGCTGGATTCAAACCCACCAGCTCCAGTGTATGTGTCTGGCGCCCTAGCTGCTTGAGCTACAGGCGCCGAGCCCAAAAAGAATTCTTACTAATGAAAGGTGGACACACATGTAGATGTGGCATATTTCTGCTCTTGGTGTTTTTTCCCTGTGCACATGGTTGCTTGAGAATTCTTTTCTGAAATGTAAAGAACCTGTGATACATGAAAAGTTGCTGAATAGTCATTAGGGAAATACAAATCTAAGGCATAAGGGTGATACCAGTCCCTAGGGATGTCTAAAAGTACCCAAGTGTTGGTGTGGTACCCTCATGCAGGGTTGGTAGGTTTGTAAAATGGTATAAGTACCTTGGAAAACAACTTGGCAGTTCCTCAAAAGGTTACCACAAGGTCAACCAGAGTTACCATAAGAGCCAGCAATTTTACCTCTCCACAAAAACCCGTATACGGAAGTTCATAGTTCGCATTACTTTTAGTAATCAGAAAGGGGATACAAGCCACATATCCATCAGCTGATGAATGGATAAACAATGTAAATTGATACAGTATTCCTAAAAGGAATAAAGTAGCAGTATGTGCTACAATACAGGTGAACCTTGAGAACACTATGTGAAAGAAGTCAGACACAGAAAGCCACCAGTTACATGATTCCATTTATATGAAACGTCCATATGGACAAATCCATAGAAAGCAGATTAATGGTTGTCAGGGGATAACCATTCTTTTTTGTGTTCGGCGCCTGTAGCTCAAGCGGCTAAGGCACCAGACATACACCGGAAAGGGAAGAATGCAGAGTGACTGCTCAGGGGTGTGGGATTTCTCCTGGGGGGTGATGACAATGTTCTGAAACTGATGATGGTTGAATAACTCAGTATAACTAAAATAGAACTGAATTATATGTTTTAGAAGAGTGGTTTTTATGGCATGTGAATAATAAGTGAATAAAGCTGGTTTTTTTTAAATCTTTGAGAAATAATGTCAGTATATACCTCCAGTTGAGCATAGTGTAACTTTGTTTTTATCATTAAATAACTGACAGATATTTAAGAAACTGTTTGAAGAAGGTTTACAAATTCAGAAGCAAAGATTACGAGACCTACGAAATTACGCCAAAGAAAAGCGAGACGAACAAAAGCGACAGCACCAGAATGAACTGGACTCAATGGAGAACTTCTATAAGGGCCAGGTGGGCTCACTGTCACTTAATAAAGTGCTTAATCCTGACCATCTGTGTCAAAAGCTTAGTCTAACAATAAACTTCCACATGTTGAACACAGAACTAGGCAACATACAGGCTAGACTGACCCCAATTTCATGACTGAAATAAAGGTAAAATAATGCTCGTCCATGGTACAAAATATATATTGCCCTATTACATTGAAATAAAGATTTTTTTTTTTGAGACAGAGCCTCAAGCTATCCCCCTGGGTAAAGTGCCATGGCATCACAGCTCACAGCAACCTCCAACTCCCGGGCTCAAGCGAGTCTCCTGCCTCCGCCTCCCAAGTAGCCGGGACCACAGGCGCCCGCCACAACGTCGGGCTACTTTGTTGCAGCCGTCATTGTTGTTTGGCGGGTCCGGGCTGGGGATTCGAACCCGCCACCTTAGGTGTACGTGGCTGGCACCTTAGCCGGTTGAGCCATAGGTGCCGAGCCTGAAATAAAGATTTTAAACCTGCAAACATTAAGCATAAGAATTTTTACATTTGGACTACAAGCATTAACAATTTGGTTTTTTTCTTCTCTATGAACAGTTTTCACTGCTGGCAGAAGCCATATCACAAGAACGTCAAGAACTCAAAGCCAGAGAGAAATCTCAGACGCAGGTAACAACAGGATAGTAATAGTTGTGTGCTTCATGCCAGTGTCTGGGTCAGTGATGGGCGGGCCACACGACTGTGGTAGGAGCAGTGGCTACACTATGTAGTCTCAGTGTGTAAGAGGTGGTACCATCTAGTAAATATGATATTTGCACAATGACAGAAATCAATGATGCATTTCTCAGAATGTATCTCTGTCATTAGGCAAGGCATGACTAATTTCTTTACATTTTTAGGAAATAGAAAACAACTGTAGTATACCTTTTAGAGGAGTAAAATACTAATAAGAAAGTCCACGTATTATCCGGGATATTTATCTTATGATTTTCACTTTACCTATTAAAAGTCTCTGTAAGAGCTGCTACTTCTGCTAAATTATTAAAATTATTGGGGGAGCCTGATTAACTGGAATGTGGAGGGGAAACAAATACAGATGATGGCCTGGGCAGATGTCAACACATGGATGACGTGGGTTCTCTTTTAGACATTACATAAGGTGAAGAAGGAGCTGAGATCTAAGATGGAGAAGGAAATCCAGCAACTGCAGGACATGATAACACAGAATGACGATGATGCTTTCTTCCGGGAACTGGAAGCTGAGCGCTTCAAATCTCGGCTTCAGCTGGCTTCCTTTCAGTACAGTAAAAATCCCTTCCTATGAGGCCAGACTTCAAAGGTAAAGTGTTAAAGGTCTTTACCAGGATAGAGCTAGAACTGAGCCAGTAAACAATCTAAACAGAAAAAAATCATTTTTAAATACCTGATCTATGTTCACACCAATACCTTTTATGAAGTAATTTTTTAAATAAAAATTTTTCTTAAAGCTTACTGCTGCTTTTGATTTTATGACCTAAACCCTGAAAAATGGGACTCTTCGTTAGTCCTGTGTGTGCTAAAGCAATTAACAAGCCTTCTTTGAGCAGCCAGCTCCTGATGCCTATTGTTTTAGGTCAACAAAAATAGTAAATTTTTTTAAAAGGATATGAGGACCAAAAGAAAATCTATAATCTATAATAATAAATATTACAGTAACATTTTTTTAAAAGGAGAGTAATTTTTTTTTTTTTTTTTTGCCGTTTTTGGCCAGGGCCAGGTTTGAACCCATCACCTCTGGTATATGGGGCCGGTGCCTTACTCCTGTGAGCCACAGGTGCCGCCCCAGGATAATAAATTCTTTTAAAAGGATATGAGCACCAAGAGAAAATCTATAATGTTGCTGGTCATAACAGGTGGACCTTAGGGTGAACCTTGCTGATAACAGCATATATATATAGGAGTTTTACACAACATGGCTGGGAGATGGGAGGATCCATTCATTGAGGTATCTGTCAGTGGGTAGAAGACAGCAATGAGAGGCAAAGTAGATAAAGCCAGACCCATACTTCAGAGCAGCAGAAGTGTATAAACTCCATGTCTGGTGTGGGAGGACATGAGAAAAAAAGAGAAACCACACTTGGGGTGGTGTCCTCCATGGAGAGGAAGGCTTCAGTGAAAGTCAAAAGCTGGAAGGAAGTCTCAGAGCAGCTGAGGATATATGGGGACTTGGCTGATTAAAGCCAAGGAGTGGGGTAGAAGAGAGACATCCATCAGGGCATGAGAGTAGCATGGGGATGAGTATATGAATGGAAAATCCAGGAGGCACCAAGTGGTATGACCTGGTGGTTCTAGAGAAAAGAGTAGGTTACAACTGGATGGTCCCAGGTGCTGACTTCTTGGAATGGCAGCTCATAGAAGGTGGGCTGACAGGCAGGCAGCCTTCCTAGGAGAAAGGCTTGGTGGATGGGGCAAGTTTGAACCATATTGAGATGACATGCTGGGACAAATCAATGGGCGTGGGTGAATGGAAAGGATAAGAAGAGGCTAGACATCCAGGAGGTAGAATTTAAGTTCTAAAAAAGTGTTATAGAGAAAAACGGTAAAATAGATCAAGATAGATACCCACAGTATATTCTTGAGTAAAATGAGCAAATTTTAAGCTATACAGTTAAATTTTAAAACTATGGAATGAAAGGGCATTATGCATATAATACAGCATACTATGAATATAAAATAGGGAAAGGTCTAGAACAGTGTTTTGTTTTGTTTTTTGCAGTTTTTCTGGCTAGGGTTGGGTTTGAACCCGTGCCACCTCCAGTATATGGGGCCTGGCGCCCTACTCCTTTGAGCCACAGAACAATATTTTTCAACATTTAATCGTATGGCACACTTGAACCTATAGTTAAACTTCCACAACACACTTAAATGATGTTGATCAGTAAGAAGGGTAAAGAAAAGAATATATTTGCTGTGCTTTGAACTTCTTTTGAAAATAATTAATGATCTTTAAAAACTTTTGCAGCACACCAGTTGAAAATCACAGGTCTAGAAGGATGAAGGATATTCCCCAAACATGATACGTGTAGGTGTGACTGGTTGATTATGTTTTGTAACTTTTTTAAAAAATGTAAAATGTTAGCAAGACTTTATTTTTTTGTTTCTATTAAACCATAACTAGGTACATTGATGCTTTTATGGGGTTCAATGTACTGATTTGTTACACAGCATGAAATGCTTACATTGAACTAACACATCTATCACAATTATACTCTTAATCATTTTGAAATGTACCATTGCATCATGCACATTAGGTGAGGTCCCCCCAGATGCCCTACCTCCTCTTTTCTCCCCCCTTACCCTCTCTCTCCTCTTCCCTTCTACATTCTGGACTACAGTTATGTTTCACCATTCATATAAATCTGTAGGTAATTATATATTGATTTCATAGTAGTATTGAGTACATTGGATACTTTTTTCCCATTCTGGAGATACTTTACTAAGAAGATGTTCCAGCTCCATCTAGGTAAACATAAAAGATGTGAAGTCTCCATCTTTTATGGCTGCATAGTATTCCATGGTGTACATATACCACAATTTGTTAATCCATTCGTGGGTCAGTGGGCACTTGGGCTGTTTCCATGTCTTGGCAATTATGAACTGGGTTGCAATAAACATTCTGGTACAAATGTCTTTATTGTAAAATAATTTTTGATCATCTGGGTATGTACCTAGTAGAGGAATTGTAGGATTGAATGGTGGGTCTACTTTTAGTTCCTTGAGTATTCTCCAAACTCTTTCCAAAAAGGGTGTATTAGCTTGCATTCCCCACCAGCAGCGTGGAAGTGTTTGTTCCCTTCTCTCTGCAGCCACGCCATGTTAGCAAGACTCATAAGTTGCTAGCTCTGGTGAACTGGGTGAGAGCTGGTGCTCTTTACCAAGCCAAGGAGTAACTAGGAATAACAAAAAGAATTATTTTAGAGAGACTTACCAGACAGGAGATAGGATTGCTCAGCAGAGGTGAGAAGATAGACAACCTAAAAGATGCCAGCATATTTTTGGAAAATCGAAAGCAAATGAAGTGGTGACTACCTCAGCAGAGGGTGTGCAGGTTCAGGTGCTGTGGAGAGTAAATCTAATGTAGTTAGGCAAGTTTGGTGCTCTTTATGATGCATACACTTGAACGTTACTTAGAACCATGACATTACTGCTTGGTGACAGAGGCTGTTACAGAAAGGGCTTGGCAGGAAAACTCGGTCCTCATCTGTGATAAATAGAGACTAACCAGACTATGTCTAACATTAATGAAGTGTAATAGCATATTACTTAGGAATGTGGGGGTAAATACCAGAAGAGCTGACATTAGGCATAAAAGTAGTGGCCTGTGAAAAGGAAGATTAGGAAAAGTATGATCTGCCTTTTATTTTTTTTCCTTTGAGACAGAGTCTCACTCAGTTGCCCTGGGTAGAGCTCCATGGTGCATTGCAGCTCACAGCATCCTCAAACTCGGCCTCAAGTGATCCTCCTGCCTCACCCTCCTGAGCAGCTGGGACTATAGGCACCTGCCACAACACCCAGCTGGTTTTTCTGTTTTTAGTAGAGACGGGGTCTTGCTCTTGCTCAGGCTGGTCTCAAACCCTTGAGCTGAACAATCCACACCTTAGCCTCCCAGAGTGCTAGGATTATAGGCGTGAGCCACAGTGCTCGGCTGTGATGAATTTTTCTTTTGAGCTTCTTAATGTGTATTATGATTTCTCTGAACTGCATCTTTCACTGGGTATGTGTAATACTGTATCACATGGGGCACTGCAGAATTAGCTGCTTCCTCTCAAAAGGGTAAGAAGCTAACAGAAGAACCAGTGTGAAAGTAAGGCAGCATCATAAAGCCTCTGCTCAGGAGGCTCCAGACTATGGGAAATTTATGTGCAGTAGAAGCTGGGGAGGTCTGCAGTGGAGAAAAGACAGGAAGGGAAGGGCACAGGATGGCGCCCCAGAGCAAAATGTGCAGCATTGAGTATCCTTTGGTATATACCAAAGGAGGAATCCAAAATAGGAGTTAGGAGTCCACATTTAGACATGCTGAAAAGGTGTGTGTGTTTGGTTTGAGACAGGGTCTTCCTGTTTCCCCAGGTAGAGTGCAGTGGTGGCATCATAGCTTGCTGCAGCCTCAAACTCCTGTGCTCAAGCAATCCTTCTGCCTCAGCCTCCCGAGTAACCCGAACTACAGGTGTGTGCCACCATGCCTGGCTAATTTATAATTTTTTGTGGAGACAGGGTCTCACTATTTTGCTCAGGCTGGTCTTGAACTCTTGGGGTCAAGCGATCCTCTCGCTTTGGCCTTCCAGAGTGCTGGTATTGTGGGTGTGAGCCACCAAATCATGTTTTATCCAGCATTTCAAGCCATTAAGCCATCATCCAGCTGATTTGGTTGAGAAGTGTGAATAGTTATTTCTTGCCTTAGTGAACATTAAATTTGAACCGCCTCAGTAACTTTGCTCTTCTGGTCCTTGAGTTATTGGAATTTATATCTAACTGTTCTTGCAGTGGTTCTCCTTTTTTAGTACGCCAGCATCTTTGCAAGGAGTGAGCAGCCTGAAAAAGTTCTGCTATGCCCTTCCATCCTCCCTCTCAGTTGCTGGGCTGAAAGTCAGAAGACATTACAAACACTTTAACTTCTAAGAAGGGTGCCTCACTCACCCCACAGGCTGCTGTGGGTACCCATCTACTTCCACCACTTACATACTACACAGTAGTATACCAAGACAGAAGTGGGGTTTACAACTTGTATTAGAGACTAGGTAAATCCTAGCTTAAATGTGCACAAAAATTAGTGCTAATCAGCAACAGCTGGGCATATGTATCACCTTGGCAATGCAGCATCCTCTCCCTAAAGTAACGAGATAGAAAGAGGGTGGCAAACTGTAAAATGAACACAAACATACTAGGAGGAGAATACCTGTCCTAGAAAGAGTCCCTGGATCTAAGGTGTCACAGGGGTCAGAGCCTCTGCTCTTATGACAAAACCAAGTCCAGCAAGTGTGCACCGTTAGTTCCAGGCTGCAGTGAGCTATAATGGCACCTGTGAATGGCCACGGCACTTCCAGCCTGGGCAACACAGGGTCTTTCAAAAAAAAAAAAAAAAAACCCTGGGAATCAGGGCCTTTCTGAGGTGGAGTATTTGGTCATGTACTCCCCTCATGACTAACCGTTTTCCTGTACAGAAACTGGTTTTGAGCATCCCTTACTGAGACACAAGCTGGAAGCATGAGTTCAGAAGTTCAGTTTCTAACAGCCATCTTCAAAGCCTTATGCCCTGCAGCTAGTACAGAGCCTGGCATGGCAAACATCTGTTAACTGAACAAATACCTTTTAAATAACATAAAATTTAACCTTAAAATCTGCTTTGTTTGGTTAAGAGTATTAACACAGAAGTGTAACTCTTTTTCTGTGTAATTATAATATCTTCTATATCCTGTTATTAGGCTCTCTGTTGTATACTGCAAATCTTGACCACC